AGAGGAGTCACATAGTTTGGCAGACAGGAGTGAGCAAATGCTAAAAATAAATATTTATCCCTCTTTTCAGTATTAGATATATAAATCAATCAATAAAACATAAATGTCATACTGCATGTAACATATGCGTTAGTATCCTTTGAAGAATGGTACAATTCCAATTTGAAGCATTCACAAGATTTAAAATTGTTTCCCAAAATCTCCAGAAACGATATATCATTCACATATTCAACATTTCATCATATATTGAGCCTCAATTAATCAGAACAAAAGTTAGTTTGGAAACAATTAACCATTAACAAAAGGTAACAATAAACGATGGTATGTGTTGGTACAGCCATTGCTCTATGAAAATTCATTTTATTGAACAGGTGTATATTACACACAAGTACAATTGATGGGCAGTGTTAACTATTTCAATACCATGTCATTTAAAGAAAATACATTCTATACATGTACATGGTTACATATGTATCTCTCAAAATCAAACTGTAACCTTGACGATGACCCATAATTTTTGTTTATCGAATCCCAGAGATGTACATGATTTATTTAGCCAAAGAATACATGAACAGGACGCTATACTATTGCTACTAACTGTAATGAGTAACTTGTTTTTATTTTTTAAATTTTCATTTACATCCATTACATCTTATTTATTAGCTATTGTCCTACTCAACAAGTACTGAAGCCAAATTATGTTCTGTTTTCTAAACTAAACTGCAATACATGTACCGGGTACCTATTTAACTCTGTATGCTTGAATAAGAACAATTTTGAATAAATCAAGAAAAATATGAATTAAATTATTTCAGTGATATGGATATTTAAAAAAAAAACTGTAAAACAGACTCCTTAAAATGTATTCTTTTTATGAGTTGAATTCCTGTACAACCAAAGAACAGAACAATAACAATAGAACAGCAGAACCTGCACATGAGTGTGTGCCTAAACAAAATTACTGAAAAATTCTATGACTAAAATGTGGTCAAATATGCTGATAATAGTATTGACAGGTTCGATCAACAAGCAATTTAAAAAAATGCATTTTAATCAACATTTGACACTCTCCAAATTTCAATTTTAAGTTCAATAATTTTAATTTCCGATCGTGATCGTTAATTCTCTATCAGATGAAGTCTGCGAGCTCATCTCTTAAGATGCTAGCAATTTGACCCTGAGAATCGATGGATTACTTTTTTATGTTGGACACAATAGTCTAAGAGTATTTTTTATTAAAAAATGATGCATTAAGGTGGCAGGATACCACAACAAAAGCATTTTGTGTGACCAGAACAGAGCTGATCAAAGAAGCTTTTTGCGTTGTCCTGGTGAATAACGCACGTTAATAACAAATTTTCATTCGCGTAAATGTGAGAAAAATAATCATCAGCTCTAACTTTTTCTCTTGCCATTAAGAGATGGACAACTCATAAAAAAACGTCTTTATAAGCAGAGAGAAAGCATGCCAATAAACACTTCATCTCTTGTACGCCTACATCGTATCAGTATAATGACGAATGTGAACAGACTGATAATGTTTCACTTTTGTGTTTTAATATTTTACAAATGATGAATTTTTTTTGAAAGGATCACAAAATCCATCACATATATTGATGATTTTCTTCAGAAAAAGACAAAAGTTCACTAAAATCCATCAGTATTTTCTTTTAAAACTGAAATTACAGAACCTTTTGCCGAAAGCATGTTTTATTTCAACACTGAAAGATTGAGATTATTGCTTTCTTTTTATCACTGATTTGTCTACACTGTGTACCACGGTCATGAAGAAATATATCACATAACTAGAACACATACTGACAATGAAACATTGTATCGTTTATTTAATTCCCACCAAATATAAGTTTACACACACTAAGTATTAAGAACAAATTAAATTTTTTTTAAGTTTAATTTTGAATTTCACCAACTTTCTGAAAAAAAATACATGTATACTTCTTTGAAAATATACAATCATAGCATCTCAGTAAGTCTGCCTTCTTATTTGCTGTATTTTTTAAAATTTGTTGCGAGATTAGACAGGGCCATTTAATAACTTACATGTTTATGGTAGTTACTTTAAAGGGAATGATGTTACTCCCTGGGATTGTTTACATAGCTGTAGAATTAAATACAGTCAAACCTGCCTATAGTGACCACTTTTAGGTAGTCCCAATACATAATGTATGAGCAACCTGTGTATAAGGTCATTGCATTGTGAAGTCATATGTT